GGCTTTGAAACTTACCATACTTGTTCACCATCATAACCTCCATCTACAGACAAGAGTACATAACTCTGTCAAGGTTTTTGACAGAATTATGGCCCTTTTTTGACTTAGAAAGTGTATTGAGCTTGGTTAAGTTTTTTGTACCACCTCACTTTATTTCAAAACCATTGGAGGTATTGCTTTGAAACTGACCATACTTGTTTACCATCACGACCTTCATCAACAGACAAGAGGACATAACTCTGTCAAGGTTTTTGACAGAATTATGCCCCTTTTTGACTTAGAAAATACATTGAATATGGGTAAAATCCACTTATTGCCTTAACCTTTGAGATATTGCTTTGAAACTTTTAATGCTATTTCACATCATTACCCCCATCTGTACGCAAGAGAAGGTAACTCTGTCAAGGATTTGTTTTAAAAATTAAGGCCTTTTATCGACTTAGAATCTTGGTTAAGTTTTTTGTACCACCTCACTTTATTTCAAAACCATTGGAGGTATTGCTTTGAAACTGACCATACTTGTTTACCATCACGACCTTCATCAACAGACAAGAGGACATAACTCTGTCAAGGTTTTTGACAGAATTATGCCCCTTTTTGACTTAGAAAATACATTGAATATGGGTAAAATCCACTTATTGCCTTAACCCTTTGAGATATTGCTTTGAAACTTTTAATGCTATTTCACATCATTACCCCCATCTGTACGCAAGAGAAGGTAACTCTGTCAAGGATTTGTTTTAAAAATTAAGGCCTTTTATCGACTTAGAATCTTGGTTAAGTTTTTAGTACCAGTCCACTTTTTGACTGAACTGTTTGAGATATTAATTTGAAAGTTGGAATACTTGTTTACAATCATGATTCCCAAACATGTCCAGGAGAAGGTAATTCTGTCAAAGATTTTATTTGAATTATGGCCCTTAACTGTCAATGTTTTGTATTATAGGCAAGCACTAAAAAAGTCGAGCGCGCTGTCTTACGGACAGCTCTTGTTGACAGAGTTATGCACTTTGATGAAATTTTCAGCTTCCGTTCATTATCTCCCCAGCGATAGTTAACATTCAACTTAAATTTGACGCGTGGATACGTTAAAGGAATGCACAGGTTAAGTTCGAATTTGGTTTTGGTTCGATGATCCCTAAAGAAAGCCCAACACGGCAAATTTGAAAATGTTGCAGGCTCGGCAGAATTCAACATTTAAACACGAAAATGGTGTTTTTTGAAATTTGAAACATCCGCAGATGTGTTCATACGGCGGTTATCATGGAACCTTCAATGTGACACAGTATAGTGCCATTCCATGAAAAGCGGCGTATGGTCCCCAAAATAAAAGAATGCTTTTGCCCTAAACGAGAAAACAGTGGGCGGAACTAAATAAAATGGAATTTTGAAAGGGCATCTGAGGTTATGAAGCCTGCATATTACAGACAAGACGTAAAAGGACAATTTAAAAAGCAGGCAACATATCCTCGTGGTGATTATACATTATTCAAATAGGATTACAGTCTGGAAACACTCAAGTTGAAAAAGGCCAAATAGAAGAAAAAAATACCACATAACATGTATACACAACAATTATGTCGTGCTGAACGACCTTCAAGGATCGAAAATATATTATCTTTGATTCAATGTACTGGGAGACTTTTTACAGCCGCCACACGTTACACTCATGTTTACCGTAATATAGAGAAAAACAGAATCCCTAAAGAAAGTCCAACATGGCAAAATTGAAAATGTTGCAGGCTCGGTTTGATTGAGCCTGTTCATGGACGTTACTGGAAAGTGAAAAAATACCGTCCACGCTCCCAAACACCGGCTCAAGCAGAATTCAACATTTAAACACGAAAATGGTGAAATTTTTAATTTAGAAACATCCGCAGATGTGTTCATAGGGCCGGTTATCATGGATTCAATGTGACACAGTAGTGCCAATCCATGAAAAGCGGCGTATGGTTCTCAAATAAAAGACTGCGGGTGCCCTGAACGAGAAAACAATGGGCGGAACTAAATAAAATTGAAGTTTGAAAGAGGATCTGAGGTTATGAAGCCTGCATATCACGTGCTGAACGATCTTCAAGGATCGAAAATATAACATCTTTGATTAAATGTACTGGGAGACTTGACATAAAAAGTCAAAGTTGACATATGGATACGTCAAAGGAATGTGCAGGTCAAGTTCGAATTTGGTCATGGTTCGATGATTTTTGGCAGAGTTATGCCTCTTTAACTTAAAAAAGAAGTAGAAATTTTCAGTATTCATAATCTCCCCAACAGTTACACACATTCAACTCAAATTTGGCATATGGATACATCAAAGGAATGCACAGGTCATGTTTGAATTTGGTCATGGTTCAATGATTTTGGCAGAAAAATGCCCTTATAACTTCGAAAAAAGATGACATTTTCAGTATCCGTTAATTATCTCCCCAACAGTTGTATATATTCAACTAAAATTTATATTGATATGTCATAGGAATACGCTGGTCAAGTTCGAATTTGGTCTTTTTTTATTATTTCTGGCAGAGTTGTACCTCTTGAACTTTTGAAAAAAAAGTTTCCGTTCATTATCTCCCAACAGGAATACACTTTCAATTTAAATTTGACATACTGATACATCTTAGGAGTTTGAATTTGATCATGGACAAAGTTATCTCTCTTGAACGTTGGAAAAAATTTGGACACTCTTACTTTTGTGGAAACGGATGTAGTCATTATCTTGGCTACAAATACATGTATGTAATATGAAATTTGCAAACGGTTAACACTGAATAGTTTCATGGCCTTGAACTTTGTATAAAAATGGATTGTGTGAACATTGAATAGTTGAGAGGCTTTGAACTTAGAATAAAATAAAATAATTTGTGCAAACAAATTTGGAACTAAACATTAATATATTCTGCATGCGGGGGCATCCGTGGCGTGACGACACATTTCTAGTTTTTTTATTTTAGATGGAAGTGTTATCCGTCTTTTTATTTTTAATGTTTGAAACTTCTTTCTACTTTTTTTCCCATTCATACGTTGAGTCCTTATTCTCCTCAATCGCCTTACTTAAGTTTTTTTTTCTTAGCCTTTATAATCAATGAAGTAACTTTGTTTCTTTTAATTTTTTACTGATCATAATCCCCCTTTACTATGACACTTATTGAGGTTGGTGCTCCCGTTTTAAGCATTTTTCTCTCATTGGCGTATATTTTGCTAAAACATCATTTAAAACAAAGTAAATAAAATTTAAAGAATGATTTTTTTGTAATTGTTTCAGTAATATCTAGACCAGAGGGGTTGACAGTACTCAGATATGATCAATTATAGATGAACTTTTTTGTTTCTCGTCGGATGCTTTATTAATTGTAATAAACCGAACTTAGTTATTGTGTTCTTCCATTTTGTATTTCTTACTTTTTCCGATTTTTGTCCTGGTAGATATGTGATTTTCAAATCGCCCATTATATAATATTTGATAAGTAAGAATCAACCATTTCAATTTGCTCGTCGTACAAATCAATCCAAGACTGAGGAGAATTCGGAGGACGATAAACAAAATTTAAAAGAAAGGATTTACAGTTTGGAATAAGTATCTGTAACCAGACTGACTCGTATCATTTATTTCAAAGTCATTCCGATATCTATAGGTTATATCTTCAGAAATATAAAATATTATCCCCCACCCTTCCTATTTGATCTATCTCGTCTCTCACAATTATAATTTCGTATGCTAACTTAATTATTATTAATATTATAATAATTCAAAAGCCAAAATTTTTGGTGATTTAGAATTGTTCATAATATGTTTAATTTCATCCAACTTTGGTAATAAATGTTGTATATTGAGACTGGCAATCAAAAGTCCCATTCCATCAAAAAGTAATGATTTGTCTATTGCACTTTTGTATGGTTATGTGATGTACGTCAAAACATATTAATAAATTATTTTTTTCGGATTATTCTCAGAACGAATGCGACCGTCATGAGTGTATTTTATGAAAAAATGTCATCTTAAAAAACTCGAGCTAGCTAGATTTAACGTAGGTGTATTACTCAAGATTTAACAGAAATCTGTTGAAGCATATAATTTTATACACAGTTAGGTACGTTGTTTACATATATACATCTTAACATGTAGACTGCTAAAAATATCTGAAATGGAAATTTGTATTAGCTTTAAAGTTTATAAATAACTTATAAATATAACACTGGGCTTTTACAAAGATTGTAAATATACCATTGTAACGACGAATGTTATATCATTCATTGTCATATGGACTAAAATTTATATAACATATAACATTTCCCAGTGGCTAGCTTTATGGCATAACGCTTCCCTACAATTTTTATAAATGTTATGTACAAGACGATACGAAATGACAACTTCTGTAAAATCCTATATAAATTATCACAGAATTTAAAAGTTAGCCTTCAATATATGTTTATCAGAATGATAATGTAATTGTTGAAAACTTCAACTTCTCTTTTATGATCATTCTTATTGTATCAAATGTTTTCATTTTGTATTATCAAATCCAACAAAGACGAACAGACATTCTGCCACGAAGTCATCATTGTGTAATCTTGGTTTTCAAAAGCCCAAAGTACTCTGACGTTACTTTTGAAGAGAGATTTCATCACTGGTGTCATTAATGACACATCAACCGTTCCTTTTATGAAAAGTACGATTGGTTTTTGAAGTCGATAAGCCATATCTAATTCATTGTGACAATAAGGACTCGAGTTGTAACTATCTGACACAACCACAATAAAGGCCGATGCTCTTTCTATACACTGTGATATTTCGTCCAAAATCCTGAAACCTGGTCTCAGATATAGGTCACCTGTACATATCAAGTTTCTGTCTATACCAGTCATATGTTGGAGAGTTTCATTGAAGTCATCAATCAAAAAGTTATCAACAAAATCTTTTTCCTCACTGCTGTATGAAAAAAATGCAACAAATTCGTTCTGACCTTGACCTTCTTGTAGCCTGCTTACTAATTCTCCTCTCTTCATTCTTTAGTAGCTCGTTTACGACGTTTGTATACAACCATTATGACTATTAAAACAATAACAAAAGTAAATCCCACAGATAAAGTGGTTGATATAATCATGACCTTCTGTTTACAAATGTTGTTGACATCATCTAATGTACTTTTATCTATTTTCCGTCTTGTATTCTTTAAGGTAGTACAAGCAAGATTTGTTGTGGAAATACTCACAGAGTTCGTATATGTTAACCAGTAGATAAATTGTTTTGCTTCGCATTTTGAACATGATATAGGGTTATTCCCAAGATCCAAAGTCCATGTTGTGTTTCCAAGTAAGTTGAGTATGCTGTTGAGTATGCTGTTATCGATGGAAAGAGAGTTTAAGATTTTTATCCTGTTATACTGAAGATTAAGAGCCTTCAGTTTGTACAGATATTTTAATGTGAATGTCACTTGCTCCAGATCATTATGAGAAAAGTTTATCAGTTCAAGGCCACGATTTTCAGTAAACATTTTTTCCGGTATAACTTGAAGGCGATTAAATGATAAGTTAATTATCTTTAGACGAGAAAGTGATTTGAACAGTTGCTGAAACAAAAGATGGTTTTCTTTTGCCATTTTATGTAATTTGTTGTTTGACAAGTCAAGCTTTTCAATGTAAGGGGTACATTCTAATATACTAGGATGGAGAAATTCCATTTGGTTTCCAGCTGCATCTACGTGCTTTATAGTAACAACTTTATGTCTGGAGCATTCCATCTTAAGATCTAAATGTTTAACATTATTTTTCTTTATTATCAATTCTTCACTTTTCCATTGAAATGGTACATTAATTATGTATGTGCAGTTTACAGTATGAATTGATCCTTGATCTGAAATACGGGAAGTCATGTTGACTATTTTAGGATAAAAAAGATAATTCCATGGTTTAGGAAAGTCGGAATATTTCCATGTCTTGTTGACAAATTTTATGGTTGGAATTAACCAAGATAATGGTACATGACTCATATCTAAGATATTGATATTCTTCAACTTTTGCATTTCAGTATCATTATCAGTTATTGTTTTTGATATTCTACAGTTAGATACATTCACAGTTTCCAATTTTTCTATGTAATGCATAACAGCAGTTGTATTTAATTGTATGATTATTGTATCACTTAAATCTAAAGATGTTATTCTTTTATCACTAAGTCCTTCGGCAAATTTTGTGTCAAATTCAATTCCTCCATTGTAGTTATTTATTTTTGATGCCTTCAAATTTTCTAGACTTGGAAGTTTATTTGATCCTTTAATACTTGCTACAAGTACAGTTTGATTTAAATAAACGCATTCACTCAAGTCTAAGAATTTTAAATTGTCAAGTCCAACAAATACATCCGAATCTAGTTCAATCTGTTTCACTAGATTGATGTGTAATGCTCGAAGTGATTTTAATCCGATGAAACATTTCTCCATAAAAATGATTTTTGAATTTAGATCATAATCACTTTCCTGTAACTGAAGTTCAATTACGTTTTCCCAGTTTTTAGACATAAAGTATGAACTATTCAATTCAAAAATTCTGTTTTCTCCAAAAAAGTCTATTTTAATATATGTGAATCCAGTTGGAATATCCTTTTTGGAATATAATTACATTTAAGTGTGTTTGTATCCACCTCATTACATTGATAGTTTAAAGCACTTACAGGTGACCAGAAAATAAGTATTATTGAAATGTAATATAAAGAATCCATGTTGTGGTTTTTTTTCACAATATTTAAACAGTTACATTTAGGGCTTTATTAAAGAGGAAGAAGAGTAAAAAATGTACATGCCATCTAGAATATTTCAATTAAAACTGAGAACATAGATCAACAAGGAAGTACGAAGTTCAGTTATAAATATTGACTTGATATTTCGAAAAGAGCATTTATGTATAATGTCACATTACTTGTTTTCAAACAGAATTTGTTCTGAGTATATAAGCAGTGATGCGTGAGCCATTAGCACGTGATCCATTTAACTATATTGTATTAAAAAGCTGATATATTCGCATGATCTTTTTTTTATTCAGTTTGCATAGGATATCGACCGAGTACGAGGTCTTTCCTGATAGGAAAGACCTGGACACGAAGATGAGATAAGAATATTTTATTTCAGTCTCATTCACATTAAACATAAAAATGACCAATCAGTTAATGATTTGTAAGAGACTGTATATTGATAAAAAAAGACATGTACATTGTAAAATCTAAAATAAAATCTACCCATGTATTAGTAAAAACTCGTCTAAAGATATTAAGAATTAAGATTGATTAGAATTCGTTCAATTGCTTTATGCATAATAATGTTTATCACACAATTTGGAATGTACACAAACAACATGTAACATACATATACGTTTATATCTAAAATAAGAATGCTAAAAAATAATAGCAAAACTGCTTAGCGGCTATGACCTTGAATGTAAAAATGTTTTCCCATCTTTCAAAATTTTATTTTAGGTTTTGGCAGTAACATACGTTAAGTCATTTTTCATTACTAAGAGTTTAAATTATTTTATCATTATCTAACATATTATGATACACATCATTTAAAGCTGAGACTAACACAGCCCTGACTTCATCATATAAAGGGCAATAAAAGAGAACATGTTTTACATCCTCAACAACACCTTCGCAGCAGGAATCTTTTATCTAAAGGTAAATTTTAATATCAGCGAGTCTCTAATCTAAGAGGGAGCTACACCACATCTAAATTTTGTATATGCAGATTTTAATTGAAAGGGTATATATTTAATAAGGTATTTTTCAGTTTCAGAATCTGATTTAAACAATCTATATGTTCTGAATTTGTTACCACAATTTACCTAACGAACTGATTCCTTAGTAAGATATATTTTCATTTTTCCTTTTCTAACTCAAACAATCTGGACTCGATCGATATTGCATGCCCAATATGTTCCTTCATCAAGTACTAGTATTCACAATCAATTTCTTGCTCCAATTTCAACGTACATTCTACTATAACTATTATGAACATTAACACTCCTTGACCACATGAAAATGATTTTGATTTTCCTATTGTTTTGCATTTTACAAACTCTAGAATATTGCACAAAGACTGAACCCCAGAGTCGCACATTTAGTGGTTTCCAGCCAGTCTCCCCACTAATTGCTGCATTGGGAGTGTACCTTCCAACCCCAAAAAATATCGCATGGCTCTATTTTGAACAGCATTTATAAATGAAAAATTCCTATCTCCCCAGATATGTGAACTGTAGTAAATAATTGGCCACACCAATGTATCATACGATATTGTAAATGTGAAGTACTTGAAAACACCAAAATTTTGACTCTTTGTTCAGCACGACATTATTGTTGTGCTTGTGGTAATTTAGTTTTTTCTATACGGCTTTTTTCTTGTTATGTGGTTCCAGTATTCCTCACTTGAATACTGTTGAATCACCCTTAGGATATGTGGCCTGCTTTTTAAAGTTGTCTTTTGACGTCTTATCTGTTATATGCAGACTTTATAATCTCTGATCCTCAATTAAAATTCCATTTTATTTAGTTTCGCACATTGTTTTCTCGTTTAGGGCACACGCATTCTTTTTACTTACGGACCATATGCCGCTTTTCATAGAATGGCACTTACGTGTCACATTGGAAGTTCCATGATAGCCGCCATATGACCACATCCGAGGATGTTTCAAAATTCCAAATGTTAAATGTTGAATTCTGCTTAAGCCGATGCTAGGGGGCGTGGACTGTAGTTTGTACTTGACAGTACCGTCCATGAACAAGCTCAATCAAACCGAGTCATAACAATAATAATAATAATAATAATAATAATAATAATAATGAGTACACTTGTCACTCCTGTAGAAGTCAAGAGTTTGCCTATCGCACATGTGAGTACACAAGAAGAAAAAATATTATAAACGTCATTTTTTTCTGAAGAAAACTAAATGTCGAAAGCTAAAGAAAAGCGTTTGTTTTCATTGAATTGATTACATATCATTACATAAGTATGGGGTTAAAGAAAACTTGTTATTCTGATTGTTTTTATTTTTGGACGCGACTAATGAAGGAACTTGCTTTTCGTAATTGGAAAGTTATTTCTTTTGTTAACAACGGCTGATTTTTTCGATTTTCTTTTGTCAAATTATACGATACTATCAGGTGTACCGTTTAGCGAACTCTTGTAGTACATTTTCTTTTGTCAAAGAATAAAGTACTTAATGATTGCGAACCATATATCTTTTTAATGAAGTGCTATTTATTCGCATTTTAAGTCTTCACGGATATATCTTAAAGAAATTCAGTAAGTTTTAAGCAGTATTCATATTTTTTGTTATTAATATATTTATATATTATGAGGTTCAGATTAGGCTACATAGAAATGTTTATTATTTTCCTCCGATAAAATCAGAATGGGATATGTAGATGATGTTTGTCCGTCCGTTCTTCATTACATCATCCTGATGTCTGTTCATTTTTTCAAAAAAAAAAAGAAAAAGGTGCGCCTTGTTTGCAAACAATATATATTGCCGTCTACATCAATCAACAAAAAATAAATTCTCGTAACAAAAAAGCGTGAAAAAAAGAATTTCGTTGTTAGTTTTACACAATTGCCGTGATATACTTAAATATATATTTTTGTAAATATTACAACGAAAACACAAACACATTGTGAAAGCTATATATAATTGAAAAGCCTAATAAAACTTTTCATAAATGAACATGGTACAAACATCTAAACTGACTGCCAGAATCTGTGTGAGGGATTGTTTTCAACACTTGATTTCGTATTCTAGACGTAAATTAATAGAAATAAGTTAAGAAAAATTATTGGTTAAACATTTCAGTGTACATTTGAATTTTGGCGTTTGATTAAGCAAAAAGTTTGTACATAAACGAAATAATGATGTAATTAATTTAACGTTTTTCATTTTTTTTTCAAAGAGAATTTTATAATATGACTTCGATATTCCAACAAAACAATTAAGTTCAAAAAAAAAAAAAAAAAAAAAAAAAAAAAAAAAAACAAAACAAAAAAAACAAAAAACAAGAGCCGGTTTGAACCGGGTGTGATCCCCGAATCGGTTTTTGGCACAGAAAAGTGCACCTCTTGTAGTTTCAAAGTTATGTCCCCGACAAAGTCAAAAGTGCAATAATTCTAAATTAGGCAAGGTAGCGTCAATGTTCTTTGCACTGCACTTCTACTCAATGAGATCTATCTACCGACTTAGTTTCTTGTTGATACCGCTAGTACTTTCACAGTAATGTCCCGGACAAAGTTCACAGTGTTAAATTGAAAAAGGGCAAGAACTCAAAAAATAGGCAAATTGTGCAAAACTCTCGGTTTGTCAATTCCGCGCCTTATTTTAAGAGAATCAGTTTGGTCAGAATCAAAGATCCAGTTAATGAGTAAATTATAAAAAAACACTAAAGCTCACTCTGGTTTTGAAAAACACTTTAATAACATTTTACCATCAGATTAAGCAATAGCCTTTGTGTATGAAGCATAAAATACCAATTGAAACAGGTAGATAGATAGAAGTGTTAACAAGAGGTTGGTGTCCTAATACTCAGTTTGACGGTATTTTTTTAAAATTATTTTCCGACCTGAAAAAGAATATTCAGACAATTTTTATACAATTTTTCATAAATAAACATTGTTAAATTTTCAAAGTTAATATATAGTGAAAGCAAAATGTTTAATATAATCTAGCAATCTTCTGCAGTTTAAACAAATGACGTCGACGGGTCTTCAAGTTATGCTCCGGACAAGTACAACGGACGGACAGATGGACACACGGACAAGGCGGCGACTACTAGTGTATTATCTACTTTCGGATAGCATAAAAACCAAAAAAAATCAAGAACAACATTAACAGAAAAAAGTCATGTGGATTATTGAATTGTGTATTTTTATATGAATTGAAATATTTACTCTCCTTCAAGACATAACACTACATAAAACATATTATTGTATTTAATTACCAAATAATATAGATAATGGTTCGTCAATTTTTTTTAACCATATATGAGCCGCGTCACGACAAAACCAACATAGTGCGTTTGCGACCAGCATGGATCCAGACCAGCCTGCGCATCCGCGCAGTCTGATCAGGATCCATACTGTTCGCTTACAAACCTTAAAACAAGTAGAGAAACTGATAGCGAACAGCATGGATCCTGATCAGACTGCGCGGATATTTCCTGCCAGTTGTCTGAAACTTTCAGTTTAATCGGCAATTTCTCAATTTCTGTAACTTTTCAACACCGGGTGAACGCGGTATCCAGAATCAAAATCGCATTCAACGCGAAATACTGACGAGACAGGGAAGACTTGTGTCAATGCATTTAGCATATTAAAACTAGAAGTAAGGACATCTTCTTTGCAAAAGAAATTGAATTCACATCTATTCTGATTGTTTTACAGGGCTCGTTTTTGTTCAAAATACTGGTTGAAAAAGTGTTCGCGGTATCAGAATTTCATGGATGTGCGCGCATTGTATGACCCCCTTGAATAAGTATGATAATGAC